AGGGATGGAGTTCTATGTAGATCCTTGTGATCAGTTCCCCCTTTCTATCCCACCTTCCCTCCACCCTCCCAATATCGCCACTCTCACCACTGGTCCTGAAGCGATCATCTGTCCTAGATTCCCTGTGTTTCTGGTTCCTATCTGCACCAGTGTACATCCTCTGGTCTAGCCAGAGTTTTGTGTGTGAACATGAGTTTTTGATCCAGTTTCAGAAATACTTGGAAATAGGCCTGCAGGATTCCAAGGATCGTCTGGCAGCTCCCCACATGGGTGAGCCTGTGCCCAGCTTCATAAGGGACTGCCAGACTGGCTCCCAAAGTAGTTACCACATTGTGCATTTTGTAACTGTTTCTGGAATGAACGTGCCTTTGAACTCAGCAATATTGGGAGTTACTCATCTTGTACGATATTGAATGACCTAATCAGGTCACCTTGCATAGATGTATTCAGAACCCTTTTGTAAGTTATTGATTTTCACAGGGGATGGTTAAAAAAAAAAAAAAAAATATATATATATATATATATATATATATATATATATATATGATGGCAAAGGATAATGAGTTGCCTACACACACACTAGAAAATAAAAGTAAATTTTTTAAAAAACTACAAAGGCTTTCAGACAAAGAGTCAAAAGTACTAGCTTGCTTTTTAAAAAAAAAACTAAAACTAAAACTAACTTCCTATGCTTGGATAAGGAGCCCTGGTGGTGTCATGGGTTAAGCGATAGCCTGCTAACCAAAAGGTCAACAGTTTGAATCTACCAGCTGCTCCTCAGGAGAAAGATGAGGCTATCTGTTCCCTTAAAGACGTATAGACTCAGCAACACGGTTCTGCTCTGTCCTAACAGTTTGTTCTGCATGGTGCTCCATCCAGGACAGCAGGGCGGCAATGCATGGCCTGTCTCTGCCTGCTAAGAAAAGCGATTGTTGGAGTTAAGACTGCTCAGTGTACTCGGTCCCCGAGTGAGGAACAGGCTATCTGCCCTGTCTGCTGTATAAATGTACCCCATAAAGTCTGAGGAAGGCTTCCAAAAGTTAACTGGGGAAATGGAATGAAAAGATAATGGAATTTTTCCCATAAATGGTTTGAAGCCTCCTCCTATGATAAAGTATAAAGAACAAAGTCTAAAGAACTAAGATAGTGTACAGGCACTGTAGAAAGAAGAAAATGATCTAATTGGCAGGTATTTCATAAATGCACTTGTTATTATTACTTCAATTACTAGTTTTCATGTGGGAAGGGAGTTCAGCATGAGACAGAGCCAGTTCTTCAGGGACAGTGTCTTTCCTGTGTCCTGGCCAGGCTGGCGCTGTGTGCTAATTGCCTGCGGGGGTCGGAGAGGCCCCTTCGGGCTCTGCAGAATTAGCCAGTGAGCCAGACTTGACACAGGTCGACCAGCACTCCTCAGAGGACCAGGACCAGCCCCAGTATTAAAAGCTCATGACCCCAGCCCACGGGAGCACAGGAACAGCAGACATGGATTGAGGGGGCACACTGAAGCCAAAGGTAAATGTCCACAAATCATGGGCTATCATTTCTTGTTACAGAATCCAGGGAGAGAGAAGCCAAGAGCGAAGACAGATGGGAAAGGGAGAGAGAGAAGGGAATGTGTTCGATGGCCTTTCCAGGCCCTGGGCTTGCCATCTGCCGGCAGGAGAAAAGGCGGAGGTCCTCTGTGTGCTGCTATAGTCCCCAGGCCATTTGTAGAGAAGCTCATGGCCTGCCCCAACAGGGTGGAGAAGAGGCAGGAAAAACACCATCTTTTTAAAATTGTTCATGGACAAAGAGGAGCTTCAAAACAGTGGTGTGAGAACTCTAATAAAATCCATCTCTAGCTTCTGAGCTCACTGATAAGAAATTAGTAAATGCATAGAAACGCAGAATCCCTAGTGGGGACCAGGGGTCGGGGAGAAGGAAGGGGGGACGCTGGCTTAGTGGGGGCACGGAGTTTATGCCAAAGGAGGAGGAATTGGGAAAAAGAAGGCAAGGATGGTCGCACAGCTGGAAAAACATCGTCACTGTCGCTGAACAACTGTACCTTCCAGGGGACAGAAAAGGTGTGTGTTTGTGTATATTTTCAATACACTCACACAGATAGATATGCATTTTCAACTTGGCTAACCTTTGTCTGGCCATAAGGAGCCCTGGTGGTGTTTTGGTTACAAGTTAGGCTGCTAATTGCAAGGTCAGAAGTTGGAAATGACAAGTGGCTCCTCAGGAGAAAGATGGGGCTTTCTATCCTGCAAAGAGTGACAGTCTCAGAAACCCACAGGGGCAGTTCTGCCCTGTCCCTTAGGGTCTCTGTGAGTCAGCATCGACTCGATGACAGTGAGTTTGGTTGGCTTGTGTCTTAGCATAATGGGTTAAGCATTGGGCTGCTAGCTGAAAGGCTAGCAGTTCAAATCCACCAGCCCCTCTGTGGGAGAACCATGAGTCTCTGCTTCTGTAAAGATCACAGCCTTGGAGACTCCCTGGGGCAGTTCTACTCTGCCCTGCAGAGTCCCTATGAGTTAAATCATAGATGGCGGTGGGTTTGTTTGTTTGTTTGTTTGTTGTTTTCATCCCTGCCTTAAGGTATGAGCTTTATGTAGCAGGAAGTACATCTCAATGGACTCAATAAAATGTGTGTGTGTGTGTGTGTGTGCGTGTGTGTTCATGAGTTGGAGGTGGAAAGTCAACTATAGAGTAGTTCAAAAGACAGGTTGGCAAATCTTCCCTGTAAAAGGAACATTTGGGGGGCATGCAACCTGTCCGGGAAACAGAAGCATCAAGCAGAAAGAGATTAGGAAGGTGTAAGTACAGTTTCATGTCTCCCAGCAGGCAACACTTTCAATCATCCCTTCTTTTCCTCTTGCCACAAAAGCCCTTTGCCTTTTGTCATTCTGAGACCTCAAAATGTCCCCACCATAATTCCCTCGGCTCTGTAGCCTGCATCTGTTTTTCACAGACAAGGAAGCACCTGTCCAGCAAACCCTCATCTTTCCAAGCCCAGCAGCATAATGAAACCACTAAGAAAGCAAAAACCTTCCTGTAACCACTTTCAAAACCAAGCTTAATGCTGCCACTACCCTCCATGGGATCTCTGTTTCCTCCTCCTCCCGAAACTCTGCAGTCCCCACATAAATCTGAATTTAAATTAAAATACGGGGATACACCGCGGGACATACACCAATTCAACAGTTGTCCACATCAATGGCATTGAGAACATTCTTTCTGTTATGCAGCCGTTCTTACACTCTTTTTCTTTTTTTTTTAGCTGTTCTTCTACCAGCCTAAGCTCACGGCCCCACTGAGGTTCCTATCTAATCGTCTGAGCTGCTCTCGTGAATTTGATCCCATGGTTCTGAAAAAGAGCATACTATTCAAGGCAGACATTGCGTCCTAGTTATGCAAAACTATTGTTTGTTTTTAAGAAGACTTCAAGGGATATATTTTGCTTAAGGTTTAAAAATGGTATCAAGAGATAGTGTCACAGGTTCATTAAGGCTCCACGGCTCCAAAAATCTGGAGTCCATGAGGATTTGAAATTCTGTACCACATTTCTCCTGTTTTGATCTTCTATGGAATCGTTGATCAAAGTGTCCAGTAACACTCAGCTGAACACCACGCTGTTTTTCTAGTCTCGTGGCAAAAGAGGTTCAGGGAATCCAATGTCTTTGCTCAGTCTAATATTAAAGCCAGGTTTGAATCCTGAGAACATGAACCACCAGGTGGAGGTGGGGCCAACTCCTCAGGAGCAGCCAACACAATAGGAAGATGCTAACCTGGAATACCAGACTTGCTGTACCTGAGTGTTGTGAGGTTTAAGGGACATATGGGCAGGAAACTGGACAAAGGTGAGCAATTTGGCCAGGACTCCCTCTAAGATCCAAGTCTTGGCTGTTTTGCTCAACATCCTGAACTTTCCATTGAAAATACAGACAGGCAGAGGTGGAAACTACCTATGAACCATATGAGAAATTACTAAAAATCCTTTCTGCCCCAAAACAACCCTGCACTCAGGTGCTCTCATGCCTGTGTTGTCCTATAAGTGAACCATCTCTAGAGTTCAATGCAAGGGGGCTTTGAAAAGGTCATGGCAAATGGAGTTAGGAGAAAATGCCATCTCTCCACAAACATTCTGAAGCTCCTTCAAGCCGTTTTCACCGAGGTAGAAGAAGGTCAAAGATAGAAAAGGAAAGTCTATTCCTGAAATGGGAAGCTGTTGACTCAGGAGGGCATGCCAGACCAGCTAGGTCAGTGGTTCTCAACCTGTGGGTCGCGACCCCTTTGGGAGTTGAACGGCCCTTTCACAGGAGCCACCCGATTCATAACAGTAGCAAAATGACAGTGATAAAGTAGCAACAAAAATAATTTTATGGTTGGAGGGGTCACCACAACGTGAGGAACTATATGAAAGGGCCACGGCATGAGGAAGGTTAAGAACCACTGAGTTAGAATCTTGGGCTAAAGTTGCCAAACTCCCCAAGCAAACAAGGCTAACCCTTCAAGCGTGTGGTTAGCAACCCCACTCCTCTTCAGGGCTTGTGTCCTTGTGCAAACGGTCTTTCCCCCTAGTGCTCGCATCACCTGAGGATGTTAAAGTAACCCTGCCCTCCTCACCTTTTAAGCAATGATTGAAAGGTGAGGTTCTGAGGTTCTACTACGATTAAGTAGCCCCAGAGGTGCTGCCTCCCAGAAAGCAAACAAAACCTCTCCTACGCTAGTCTCACTGCTGATTAGTAGATGCTAAATCAAAGCACCTTGGTCGTGCAGTAAACTGGCCCAGAGGGTGTCCAAAGCTGTCCACTCTCAAGAAGCAGGCGGCCACATCTATCTCCGGAACTCTTCTCCCCAAGAGGAACACAAAAGGACAGCCGTGAGCTACATGTATACCAGGGGGTGCGTCTCAGGTTTTCTCCGATGCAGGTCCACCTAAGCTAACAGCTTGTTCTCCGTTGGCTTCTCCTAGCAGTTTTCCCTGGACCGATTCCTCGAGGGACTGAGGACACTCCATGATGGGAGCCACCAGCAACAGCTCCACAGATGCCTTCATTCTGCTGGGTGTATCTGACCACCCGCAACTGGAGATCATTTTCTTTGTAGTCATCCTCATCTCTTACTTGATGACCCTCGTTGGGAATGCCACCATCATCCTGCTTTCCCACCTAGATGCCCGGCTTCACACACCCATGTATTTCTTCCTCAGCAACCTCTCCTCCCTGGACCTCGCCTTTACGACCAGCTCGGTCCCCCAGATGCTAATCAACTTATGGGGCCCAGACAAGACGATTAGCTATGGTGGCTGTGTGACCCAACTCTATGTTTTCCTTTGGCTCGGGGCTACTGAATGCATCCTGCTGGTGGTGATGGCCTTTGACCGCTATGTGGCAGTTTGTCGGCCCCTGCACTACACCACCATCATGAACCCTCGACTCTGCTGGCTGCTGGCTGCCATTGCCTGGTTGGGTGGCTTGGGCAACTCGGTGATCCAGTCCACATTCACTCTGCAGCTCCCATTGTGTGGGCACCGGAAAGTGGACAACTTCCTGTGTGAGGTGCCCGCCATGATCAAACTGGCCTGTGGAGACACCAGTCTCAATGAGGCTGTGCTCAACGGAGTCTGTACTTTCTTCACTGTTGTGCCTCTTAGCATCATCTTGATCTCCTACTGCTACATTGCCCAGGCAGTGCTGAAGATCAGCTCAGCAGAAGGACGGAGAAAGGCATTTAATACGTGCTTCTCCCACCTGGTGGTGGTGTGCCTCTTCTATGGCTCAGCTATCTATGCGTACCTTCTTCCAGCGAAGACCAGCAACCAGGACCAGGGAAAGTTCATTTCCCTTTTCTACTCTGTGGTCACACCCATGGTCAATCCTCTCATCTACACTCTACGGAACAAGGAGGTGAAGGGGGCACTGAGAAGGCTGCTGGGCAAAGGAAGGGAAGTGGGCTGAAAAAAAGAAAAACTTCATCCATTATTTCCTATTCATCTCTACACACCTTTTCTCATTGTCTCTCCGGCCAGGTGGACATGCGGCGTACTAGCCCTGGTAAAACCATTCCAGTGAAACTAAGGCATGCGCCGAACAACTGGCATATGATTAGTGTTATTTGCAATGTTCTACACTTACTCACCAAAATATGTACTGTGTACTCCAGATAATAAGGCAGACATTTGTGTCCAGGTTCAGAGGTTATTGACCTAGTACAAACGTATCTCACTGTCTGTTTATATAGTCTACGCGTTGTTAATCACAACTTATTTTTCTGGAGAATTTTGTACTTTTCTAGAGAAAGCAGCTTGAGTTGCAGTATCTTACTTATACAATCTCACCATAACCCCATTAAAGCAACCCAGGTATTATTAACCCACATGGAAACCCCCATAATTCACTGTTGTGCACAAAGACCTATCCATCTCTCTTTATCTAGTCTTCTCAATAGTTGAGTCTATCTACCCATAACTTCCCTTCATATAGCTTTCTATCATTTTCTATCCTCTCTCTCTCTCTCTCATGTCTACAGCTTATTGCCCTTCTGACTCATCTAATGTGTAACAAGAAAGGTAGGAAAGGACAAATGCCTTTCTATTATAGCCAAAGAAGAGTCCTTGCCATGCTTTTATTTAAATAATCCCATGTAACAGTCCCAGTCATTAAATTGGATCCAGCACTTGGATATGTTTGTCTGGCTAATCGATTCTAGGATTCTCAGAAATTCTTTAAGAAAGTTGAAAAGCCCAAGAAAAATCCAAAGCCTATGTCTTCTGCTCCAGGACTCGGTCCAGCCCACACTGGCTCCCCTCGAGGGACCCAGGTATTGGAATCAGAATGCCAATTTATAGTTGTGCGCATTACTAGAATTGCCAAAGGACGACTGACCCGCCACCACCTTTCACATCACATTTCCTAGGACTGAGAGGTTATTACAAGGATCTACCTATAACTCCTCCCTGGAGGGCGGACAACAGAAAAGTGGATGAAGGGAAACGTCGGACAGGGCAAGATATGACAAAATAATAATTTATAAATTGTCAAGGGTTCATGAGGGAGGGGGAAGCGGGGAGGGAAGGGAAAAAAATGAGGAGCTAGAGAGCAAATGTTTTGAAAATGATGAGGGCAATGAATGTACAAATGCGCTTTACACAATTGATGTATGTATGGATTGTGATAAGAATTGTATGAGCCCCTAA